ATTTGATTTTCTAATTCATTCTTCATGCTTGGGAAATTTTCTGATATTATTTCATTGAAGAGATTGTGCCTTCCTTTGGTTTGAATCTCTGAACCTTCCTCTATCCCAGTAAATCTTAAATTTGATCTTTTAATGGTATCCCATAATTCTCGGATATTCTGTTCATGGTTTCTTACCATCTTCACTGTGAGGTCAACTTTATTTTCAAGATTGCATATTTTGGGGCTGGGGTTGTGACTCAGTGGTAGAGTGCTTGCCTACCACATGCGAGGCTGTGGGTTCAATCCTCAGCACCACATAAAAAATAAATAAATAAACAAGATCCCTTGCAAGAAGAAATCATAAGGGAAATTTTTAAAAATTTGAAAATGAGTAATAATACAATTACCACATGTCAACTACAACTGAAAAATCAATATTAAAAAAAAGATTGTATATTTTGTCTTCATTGTCTGAGGCCCTATCTTCTACTGATAGTGTATTTCTGGTAATTTTTTGTTTATTTTTGGTATTTAACTTGACTGGGTTTCTCCTTTGGTTTTTTAACTTGATCTAGTCTGTTGGTGATGCTTTCTATTGAGTTTTTTATTTGGCTTATTGTTTCTTTCATTTCAAGGATTTCTGTTTTTTTTTTTTTTTTCAGAATCTCTCTTTCTTGAAGTAATCTCTTGCTACCTATATTTGCTCTCTTATCTTTTTGTTGGTGTGATCTATGGTCACCTGTATCTATTCTCTTATTTCTTCATTGGAGTGATCGATTTTTGCCTGTATTTGCTCACTTAGGTCATTCTTTAATTCCCAGATCATTTTAGTTATGTATATTCTGAACTCCTTCTCTGACATTTTATCTACTGCACTATCTATGGATTCTATGGTTGTAGTATCTTGGTTTGTTTGGGGCACTTTTCTTCCTTGTTTTTTCATGATGTCTATGTGTCTTCCTCTCTTGCAGTGTAGCTCCAAGGTATTACAGCTTCTGCCCTATTATCTTATAGTGTCCTTACAGATTACCAAGACCTCACCTTTAAGGGGGAGATCAATATTACAGCATTCAATGTACCCAACATGCAGCTATAGATCCGTTAGCTTCTATTTTTACATGTACAGTTTTGTAGCTACAATCAGAAATGATGAATTTGGTTATCTTCTACCATATAGTCAACAGATTTGCATAATGGTTTACAGTTTCTAATGGTAGAAGGGGGACTGGGGGGGTTGACTGAGATGTTTATGAGTAGGATGTGAGAATAAAGAGGTATTAGATTATGTGATTAGTGAGAGGGTAGTCATAAGAAGTTGGCTGTTAGTAGGAGAAACAAGAGACAGGCAACCCCGTGCAAGACTCCCTGTTACCTTAGCAACAGGATAACTATTATCACCCTTGGTAGAGATAACCTCTGGTGCAGCCAGGCCCACAGGGACCTTGGTGATGTCTTACCAGGTCCTTATTGTTGTCCCTTGATAGAAGTGGCAATATCCCAGTTTTTTATATATAGGCAGCCTCAAGCCTATGTGTACCCTAATGTTGGGCTGTAGAGCCACGCTTTGGTGAATAAGGAACACCAGCGTGGGGTGGGCCTGTCCGTGCAGGCACAGGACATGTTTCTCTCCTGGTTGCCAGACCATGCAGACTTTCTATTTCTTTAAGCCTTATAGAATCTAACAATCTGTTTTGATTAATTTTGTTTTAGGAATTCAATTTGCCTAAGTTTTCATATGTCTTAGCATAAAGTTAATATTAGAATTCAGTTAATATTTTAAATTTTGCTGTATTTGGATATTATTTTTGTATATATAGAAGACTCACTTGTACCTTTTTATTTTTTTAATATAACTTTAGAGGTTTGTCTATTTTATGAATCTGTTGAAGAACCAAGAATAGGACCTTTTTGATCCTCTTATTATATATTTTTTTCAATTTCCTTTATTTTTGTCTTAACCTTATTATCTCCTTTACTTAGTTTGAATTTATTCTTTTGTTATTTTTCACAAAGTGCCACTTTTTATTACCATCCACAACTTTTGACATGTGGAAATTATATTATTACTCATTTGCAATTTTTTAAAATTTCCACTATGATTCCTTCTTGCAAGGGATCTACAAGATTTTTTTTTTTACTTAAAATATATAGAGATATCTATATCTATAGTTCATGTCCATGGACTGAACTACTCCTCTTGTTAAAATGGTGATTCTTCCCTGCTGACTTATAGATTCTATACAGTCTCAATCAAAAGCACAGCAAGTTGTTCTATAGATAACAAACTGGTCCTAAATTTCACATAGTAAATCAAAAAACCTAGGAAAGCCAACTTAATAGTGAGGAACAACCAAGTTAGATGACTCAAAACTACCTGATGTCAAGACTTACTACTATAAAGCCAACACAGTCAAGATTGTATGGTATTGAGAGTACATACATAGATTTCTGGGACAGAATGGACCCATGCAAGTATAGTCCACCAGTCTTTGACAAGACACAAAAGCCATCCAATAGAGAAAGGGCAGTCATTTCAATAAATGGTAGTGGGATAATTGGAAGAACCCACGTAAAAACATTAACATAGATAGATGCTATGGTAGTGGGATAATTGTGGAAGTACCTATGTAAAAATATTAACATAATTAGATAGAGATTTTATACTTTGTTATAAAAATTAACTAAAATTGGATCAGAAAGCTAAATGTAAAACAAAATATAAAACTTTGAGAAGAAAACATAGCAGAAAATATAGATGACCTTGAGTTCCCCAATGAGGTTTTATTTTTTAATTTTTTGAAAATATATTTTAGTTGTACATGGACTCAGTATCTTTATTTTGTTTATTTATTTTTATGTGGTGCTGAGGATTGAACTCAGTGCCTCACACATGGGAGGCAAGCACTTTACTGCTGAGCCACAACCCAGCCCCAACACAATGAGATTTTAGGAGATAACACCACCAAAGACAGAATTAAAGAAAATGTAGATAATTTAGACTTTATTAAAGTTAAAAACTTCTGCTCTGCAAAAGACACTGTTAGAAAAATGAAAATGCAGGTCACAGGCTGGGAGAAAATGTTTGGGACATTCCTGATAAAGGACTTATATAAAAATGTACAAAGACTTCAAAACTCAAATTTAAAAATGGGCAAAAGATCTGAAGAGATAAGCCATCAAAGCAGATTACAGATGGTAAATAAGCATATGAAAAGACAGTCAACATTATTTGTCACTAGGGAATGCAATTTACTACACAATAAGATACCACCATACCAGTTTCTGGTCTGGAACCAAAGCAACATGAATGCTTATTCATTGCTGGTACAAATGCAAAGTGGTACAGACAGTTTGGAAGACAGTTGGCAGTTTCTTAACGAAGTTAAACATACTCTTGCCATATGATCCAGCATTCATGAGATATTCACCCAACTGCTTTGAAAATTTATGTCCACACAAGTTTTTGTATTTATACAGCTTTAGTCACAATTGCCAAACAGTGGAAGCAACCAAGATGTTCTTCAATAGAGACGAAAGGGTGAGAAAACTCTGTGATACACGGATATGAAAGAGGAGTATTCAGTGATTTTCTAAAAGTGCTATTAAGCCACAAAAAACATGGATAAACCTTAAGTGCATATCACTAAATGAAAGAAGCCAGTCTGCAAGGACTGATGACATTGTGGAAAAGGCAAAGTATGCAGTAAAACTTAAGTAATTGCCAGGGGTTTGAGAAGGGGAAAGGAGCTGAATAGGCAGCATAAGGGGTTTTCTACAAAAGTATCTTACAAAAATATCACAAGGGCTGTGATACTTTTGTAGGATATTTTTTGGGGGGTACTGGGGATTAAATCCAGGGACACTTAACCGCTGAACCACATCCCCAACCCATTTTATTTTTTATTTAGAGACAGGGCTTGCTAAGTTACTTAGGGCCTCGCTAAATTGCTGAAGCTGGCTTTGAACTCGTGATCCTCCTGCTTCAGCCTCCTGAGCTGCTGCTGTATGATAGTTTAACGGTAGATATATCACCCTTTGCATTTGCAAAGCCCAAAGGGTAAAACTTTTTGTTTGTTTGTTCTTTTTACTTATATATGGCAGTAGAATCAATTTTGATATATTCATACAAGCATGGAATATATGTTATTCTAATCAGGATCCCAGTCTTGTGGATGTACCAATGTTGAGATTTCCTGGTGTATTCATATATGTACATAGGAAAGTTACGTTAGATTCATTCCATTATCTTCCTATTCCTATTCCCCCATCCCTTCCCTTCATTCCCCTTTGTTTAACCCTCTGAACTTTTATTACCCCTACCCCCCAGGGTGAACCTTAATATATACAAATTTTTACAAAAATCATTGAGGAGGTGGGGAAACCCTAGGATGGAGTTGCAGATTGTGACAAATGAATCTTAACTGTATTTCAAAAGTATAAAAAATACATACAAATTTTAAATCAAGCTCTTAAACTGTTTTTGACTTCTAATTTAATTGCACTGTTTCAGAAGACAGGTCTATATATACTTTGAAATTTGTTGAAGCTTGTTTTATTGCCTACTACATAATAAAGTTTTGTAAATGCTCCAAATAACCTGAGGGAAAAATTGTTTTCTCTAGTTATTAGATGAAGAATTTTATAAATGACTATTAGGGTAAAGCTTTCCAATAATGTTATTCAATCTATATATTTGACCTCTTGAAAGAGATGCATTAAAATCTCTCATTATTATATTGGAACTGTGTTTCTCCTTTTCTACGTATTACTGTATGAAGTCTTTGAAAACATTTATTAGGCCAGATATTTTAAAAATTAACAGTCTTGGTGAATGAACATTTATCTTTAGGTAGTGAATCTCTCTATTCCAAATGATGCTGTATCTTGACGTTTATTTTGTTTGCTAGTAAAAGAGGTACATCAGCTGACTTTTGATTCATGTTTGCCCAATATAATTTTTTTCCATGCTTTTACTCCCTGCCTTTTCATGACCTTGTTTTTACGTGTGTCTTCTTACAGGGTGACCAAATTGTTATCCACATCACAACACTTTTGAGAGGGAAAGCAGCAAGATGGATGACAATACCAGCCCAAGAAGGATATGCAGAGTAAGTTCTATGGAAACTGGGAAACACTAGCCATGATTTAAAAAAAAAAAAAAGAACACTGACTTAATTTTTTTTGCTCTTTTATTTTTTTTACTTGATTAACATTTTTAATGGACACATAGCAATTGCACCTATTTATGAGGTGCAGTGTGGCACTTCAAAACATGTATACAATGTGTAATGATTAAATCAGGGTAATGGACATATCCATCACCTTAGACATATATCATTTCTTTGTACTAGGAACATTCAAAATTTTCTCTATCAGGTATCTTGAAATATTCAATTAATTGTCAGCAACTACAGTGCTCCTGCTGTGCTGTAGAACAATATATGCTATTCTCCTATCCATCCTCTTTGCACTTCTCTCTCCCCACCTGTCCGAGCTCTGGTAACTACTGCTCAGTTCTCTACTTGTTCGAGATCAACTTTGCCTTGAGCTAAATGAGAACATGGAGTGTTTGTCTTTCAGTGCCTGACTTATTTCACCTAACGTAATGTCCTTCAGTTCCACCTATGTCATTGCAACTGATGGAATTTTGTTCTTTAATGGCTGAATAATATTCCATAGCAATACTCAATGGAACACACATATACTACATTTTGTTTATCCATTCATTCATTGGTGGACACTGGTCTGATTCCATATCTCAGCTCTTGAGTATAGTGCTACCATAAACCTGGCAGTGCAGCTGTCTCTTGTCTCTTTGGCATACTGATTTCATTTCCTCTGGGTACATACCCAGTAGTAAATTGTATGCAGTTCTGTTTTTAGTTTTCTGAGGAACTGCATACTGTAAAAATTTTTCACATTGGCTGTAATAATTTGCTTTCTTACCAGCAGTGTAGAAGAGTTCCCCTTTCTTGCATCCTCATTGACTTGTAATTTTCCTTTTTTATCTTATGATTATAGGCATTAACTGGAGTGAGGCATATGTCATTATGGTTTTGATTTGCATTTCCATGATGAAGTGTGTGATATGGAATGTTTTTTCATATACTTTTGGCCATATGTTTTCTTTCAGATCATTAGCCCATTTTTAATTGGACTAATATTTTTTTGTTGTTGTTGTTGAATGTTTTTAGTTCTTTATATATTCTGGATATTAGCCCCTTAACAGATAAATATTTTGCAGGCTTTCTCCCATTCTGTGAGTTTTCTCTTCACTCTGCTGAGTATTTTTTTTTTTTTTTGCCATGCAGAAGATTCTTTAGTTTGATATGATCTAATTTGTCCATTTTTAAATTTTGTTACCTGTGCAATTTGGGGCCTTAATCTAAAAAATATACATATATTTTTCCAGACCGATGTCTTAAAGCGTTTCCTTTAGTAATTTCATAGTTCAGCTCATACATTTAGATTTTTTATTAGTTTTGAGTTGATTTTTTGTATAAGGGAGACATAGAGGTCGATTTTCATCTGCATTGGATATTCATATTCCCCAGCCCCATTTAGAGTATCTTCTTTCCAGTATATGTATTGCTGCCTTTATCGAAAATTAGGTGGTGGTAAATCCATGAATTTATTTTTTGTCTTCTCTATTCTGTTCTATTGGTCTATATATCTATTTTTATGCCATTAACATTGCTATTTTGTTCAGTGTGGCTTTGTAGTATATTTTGAAGTCAGATATTATAATACCTCCAGCTTGTTCCTCTGCTCAAGATTGCTTTGACTATTCCATGTCTTATATGGTTCCATATGAATTTTCTTTTTTCTATGAAGAATGTCATCAATATTTTGATAGGAATTACATTGAATCTGAAGATCACTTTGGATACTGTGGATGTTTTAACAATATTATCTTTTTAACTTTTATTGTTTTTTAATTCTTTTCATTTTTGCATCCTCGATGTTAGCAGAGATCCTGTTGTTAAACAAACATTGGTCAGATAAAAAAAAGTGGAAAAATTAGGCTCATCTGAGTCATACTTCTCTATGATAAATCTCCTAGTTCAACATATGGATCTAAATAAAACCTTGCCTAGGGGTAGGGAGGAGGAGTGGTAAAGGAAGGTTCTGGGAAGGAGATTGAGGAGATTGGGTAACCCATGTTGTGTGAATGTATGATTAGGGCATAACGAATCCCATTATGTATAATTATAATGCACCACTAACAAAATTTTTAATAAACCTTGCTTAGATTCTGACCTATAACAAGGTCAGGCACAGTATGATTTCACATAGGCTAACATAGGCCTTAAAGGGGAACAAGTTCCAGTTCAGTGAAGAGAAAGAATCCACTAGATGTCTCATCAGGAGATTCAGCATTGAGGGGGTATTCCACCCAATGAGCCTGGTCAGACAGGACATGCCCCCCAACACCCCAGTTTGTATTGAAGCTAAGTATGGGTGCCCATATCCCCATCACTCAATTTGAAGTAAAAAACCTGAAAGTTCTCAACAGTGCATTCTGATGTCACAGACTTGGGAATTCATTCCTCTAGATCTATAACTAGATCAGAACCTGGGCCAAGGGATTTGGTTTTTTTTTTTTTGCTTGCAGCAATCGCTTTAATATTGGGGTCTTCCAGTAGTGACCTGGAAGACTTCTGGTTTGGCCCATGGTCTATAGGGTATGGCAGTGTTGCCCTTGGAGTGACAATGCTGGATCAGTTTCTCCTGAGTGAGGTATGGGTGACACTCGACCTGATTAGTCAGTGGTTTATATTTGAGTCCAGGCTTGTTCAAGATTATTTCCATCTGGAAGTGGTTGAAGTTGGAGACACCAAGGGATTTCACCAACCCCTCATCTACCAGCTCTTCCATGACCTCCCAGGCATCCAAGAATGTTACTTTACTGATAAGGTTGTTGCCTTTATCATCTTTGGGGAATAAGTCTTTCCCAGACTGAAATCCCTGGGGCCAGTAAGTAAGATAGATACCCAGATAGTCCAGTTTCAGAGCCTGTGGGGGTCTTCTAATAGGTTTCCTTTACAAGGTTTCTTTTAAAGAAGGTGCACCACAACTTGCTAACAATAAAGAAGTCCTCCTGTGTCACCAGCTTCTCTTGGATCTTCTTCTGGATGGCTTCTCTCACCTCATTTTCATAGAATACGCACAGTATATGTGGCAATATCTTGCATCATTGGCCACCTTCTTTGACTCTGCCTGGGGGAGACTTCTAGGTGTCCAGACCCAAAATGGACATCTTGGCTTTAGTGTTGAGCTCCACAAAGGTGGCCATGGTAGGTGCAGAAATGGTTCTCTGAGAGCAGATAGATGTCTAGTGTTAACAATATTCTTCTAATATGTGAAAATTGGACATCTTTCCATTTTTTGTATGTCCTCTTCAATTTCTTTTATCAATATTTTGTAATTATCATTTTAGAGATCATTCATTTCCTGTATTAAATTTATTCCTATGTATTTTATTTTACTTTATTTTTGTAGATAATAGAATCATGTCAATTTTTTTTCTCCCTTTCATAATTGTTGTATAAAAATGCTACTTATTTTTGTAGGTTGCTTTTGTATCCTATGACCTTACTGAACTTGTTTAGAGGTTCTAACAGTATTTTTTGGTGAAGTCTTTAGGTTTTTCTCTATATAATATCATGTCTTGTGCAAACAGGGATTATTTGACATCCTCCTTTTCTATTTGGATGACTCTTGTTTCCTTCTCTTTTCCTATTGCTGTGGCTAAGACTTCTAATGCTATATTGAGAGTGGTGAAAGTGAACACCCTGGGCTTGCTCCTGATTTTAGAGGAAATATTTTCAGTTTTTCCCCATTAGTATGCTATAGGCTGTGGGATTGCCATATATAGACTTTTTTATGCTGAAATACATTCCTTCTACATCTAATTGTTGAAGATTTTTATTATGAAGGGATGTTCAATTAATATTATTAAGTGCTTTATCTGCAACTGATGAGATGATCATACAATTTTTTATTCTTCATTTTGTTGGTGTGATTATTACATTTACTAATTTGCATATGTTGAATCATCCTTATATCTCTAGGAGAAATTCCACTTGGTGGTCATGGTGTATATTCTTTTTTATGTGCTGTTGGATTTGATTTGCTAGTGTTTTGTTTAAAATTTTGCATCTATGTTCATTAGGGATATTGTTAGAAGTTAGCTTTTCTTGTCTTGTTTTGGTATCAGTGTTAAACTCCGATGCAAAAAAAAGACTGCCGACTCCAATTTTAAATCAAATTAAAGCAAGCTTGTGTTGGTGTACTGGAGCTAGCCAGGACTGTCTTTCCTGAAAATCCTGGGCTAGAGATTAGTATCCTAGCTCTTTAGGAACACAGTTTTATAGCACAAAAATTTGAAAAAGGGGGGTGTCCTGAGAATTTACAGATAACAGAATTTTGAGAAGCATAATACAAAGGCAAATAGTGGTTAATGATCTACATGGCTTAACATTTAAAGGTAGGGAATAAATTTAGATCCCAACATCAGAATTTATATGAGGCACCACTGAGGTTTCAGAGAGGGTTGTTATTTGGTCAGGGGGAACCAGGACTTATTGTTTTCTGTATTCTTGATAAACTGCCATTATGACTGGCATAAGATGAAATCTTAGAGTAGTTTTGATTTGCATTTCTCTAATTACTAGTGATGTTGAGCATTTTTTCATACATTTGTTGATCAAATGTATATCTCCTTCTGAGAAGTGTCTGCTCAGCTCCTTAGCCCATTTATTGATTGGATTGTTTAGTTTTTTGGTGTTAAGTTTTTTGAGTTTTTTTATATATCCTGGAGATTAGTGCTCTGACATGCCTGTGGCAAAAATTTGCTTCAAAAATATAGGCTCTCTGTTCACCTTATTGATTGTTTCTTTACTGAGAAGAAGCTTTTTAGTTTTAGTCCATCCCATTTATTAATTCTTGATTTTATTTCTTGCACTTTAGGAGTCTTGTTAAGGAAGTCAGGGCCTAATCCGACATGATGGAGATTTGGGCCTACTTTTTCCTCTATTAGGTCCAGGGTCTCTGGTCTAAATACTAGGTCCTTGATCCACTTTGAGTTTTGTGCATGGTGACAGAT